CCTGGGTAAACGCACCCTCTCTCATGGCCTCAAATACCTTCCCAGGGCTGGTGAGGCCCACATTTCAATGAGGTCCCCATCTCTGCCTTCAGCCCAGACCCCTGTCCTAGGCTGAGACCACCATATCCAAAAGTCTCCTACACACCGCTCCCTGACTCTCCCATGGGCATCTCCTGCTCAACATGTACCAAACTGAGTTCATCCTGCTCAAACCCACTGTTTCCTGCATTCCCATTCATCCACTCACACGTGGTTCTTACATACCTATTGTGTGTGTAAGGAAAAATGGAAGAATTTGGAATAAACAAAGAAATCACTGCTATAATCAAAAAGATGGGCAATAACTAGTGTGGACAAGAACGTGGAGAAATTGGAACCCTCATACATTGCTGGTGGGAATGGATTATGGGGCCTCTGTGTGGATGGCTCCAGGGGTGTCTGGAAAAATGGCATAAACACTGCACAACCTGGGCAGACTTGGGGAGCCCCCAGCCAAGCATGGTGCGGGGAGAGTGGGGCCGCCAGTGCCCCCATGGCTTGGGCTGGGGCAGCCATAGTGATGACCTGTGTGCCTTCTTCTCAGGATGGCCTAAGCCTCCTAGAATTGTGACTAGCCCCAGAGAGAGGGTGAGGCTCCGGGAAAATGGCTACTGTTAGAGTCCCTGCCAACTCTGGCAATGAGAGGAGGGGGTTCCCACTAGACAATTTATCACAATAAAGAAATGCTGTGCTTCTTAGTGCCATGACGTAATTCACATATAGAATTACAAATTGTGATATGTGTGAGGGGAGAGGAGGTGGTCATAGAGACAGAGAGAAGAGAGTAGATTCATTATTTATTTAGCAAGTAGCGGGGACAGGTCTTAGTGATGGATTGGAAGTGGAGGGGTGGAGACTGATGCAAAAAAGAAAAAAATTTTCCATGTTTCTGAGAACTGGGTCAACCAGAGTGCACTCCGCATCCCCTTCCTGTAGATGATCCATCCACGCCACGACAAAAACTCCCGAAGGCATCGCTCCAGTGCGACCTGACCCCCTGTCGCTTGCTCTCAATCCACACGGACTGTCTCCTCGCTCCCCCAAAATGTCATAAGGTGCCGAGGCGGTGCGGGGCACCAGGCAGGCGTTAAGTGGAGATGTGTGTGTGAGAAAAGGAATAAAATCGTGGCCTTTCCCCGATCAGCCACCAGGGGCTCCGGCGAGCCCTCGGCCCGGCTCCTAGAGGGTCTCCAAGACCCGCCTTCAGGGGGCGCCTCCCGGAGCCGGCGCCCGCAGGTCCACAGGTTTCTCTCGCCCACCCCCGCCCCAGCGTCCCGAGGCCCCGCGGGCGCAAGCTGCCCAGGCAGCGGCCCCGGAGCCCAGGCCCGGGGAACCCCGCCGTCCGCGCGGCTCGGGGGTCGGGCAGGGGCTGAGCCCACGGGCGTGGCGGCGCTCGAGGGCGCGGACGGACGGCCGGGGCTGGAGCTGCGGGCGCGGCGACTCCCGCCCTGGGCAGGGTCAGACCCCCAGCTGGATGATTCCGAGCCGAGAGCCAGGTTCAGAGCTCTTGGCGGAGTCTGGGCATCTTCAGCCTCGGAGTCTTGCATCAAGGCTCGGACGCAGACCCACCGGGTTTGGCCCTGGGCCAGGAGCCGGGACCTCCCCTTGCAGAGCCGGCCCCCGCCGCCTTCCCCACCCGCTCTCGGCCGCCCCCGTGCGCGCCCCAGCCCCTTCGGAAGCTGCTCGCCCGAGGCGGGGAAGGGGCGCCGCCCTCTCCCCTCAACCCTACGGGCAGCGTCTGGGCAGGCGGAATTGCGGGCGGAGGCCGGCCGGGCTCCTTTATCTGGATTCGCTTGGACGCCAAGAGGAGGGAGGGGCAGTGGGAGGGGGTGGTAATGATGGATGCTGGGAAGGGCTGGGAAATGGCTGCAGCTGGGAAGAACCAGGCGGTGAATGAAGTCTGCATCTGAGAAGGGCCGAGAAACTCTAGTTCATTTCCCGCCTTCCCCCGGCCCAGCCCAGGGCTGCGGCCTTGAGCGCATCACCTCCCTCCCTGGGCCTTCTTTGTATGCGGTGGAGAGCTGCACCGGATGCCGGTGGGGCGGCGGCCTGCGCTCACCAGAGCTGGATGGAGGTTTTCCGCCTCAGGATCCTCAGGACCATTTTACAAATGAGGAAGTTGAGGTGGCTGGCGCTGGGCTGGAGCCCAGGTCGGCCTGCTCCCAGGCGGAAGCTGCCAGATCCGACAGCCACCTCTTGGTCCCCATTCTCAGCTTTTGACACTGGGCATCACTCTCCTTACTGAGTCACACCTGGCACCACAGGCCCCTGGTTTCTCCTTACAGCTTTGGCCGATCCCTTCTCAGCATCCTTTGTGCACATTTCTTCCCACCTTTTAAAAGTCTCCAGAGCTTTGAAGGGACCCCTCCTCTTTCCATTCTGACACTGGAGGAGCTCCACCTCCCCATGTGGGGCCAACCCCCAGACCTTGTTTCCAGCAACTCTTGCTTCAGAGATGGAGCCCCGGTAGCCAACAGCCTCCTGGACATCTGCCCCGGATGTTGGGCATCTCAGAGATAGCACCATCATCTGCCTGGCTGGTGGGAATGTGTGTCGTGGGACCAGGTGTGTGGGTCAGAGGGAGAACTGAGAGGAGGAGGGAGATGTCCATACACAATACTTCTCTAGTCTCAGTGTGGCCTTTTTTTGTCTGCAGGGCCTTGACTATTAGAATTCATATGGCATCAAGCTCTGTGTTGGGCCAGGAAGAATCCTCACAATGTGTGTGTGTTTATAGAGGGGGCTTCTGGGCGCAGAAAACCCTGGTGCTGTTGAGAGAGGGGTGACAAGGCAGGCTTGGGGCCAGTTGTTCAGAAAACTGGACTGTCTGGAAGTCATCAGTACTTCCTGTGATGATTTCTCTGTAAGAACCAAGCTGAACTTTAAAAGGAGCCCTTAAAGGAAAAAAGAGACCTTTTAAAGCAGTTAGTGTCCATAATGGGGCCCCAGGTCTTATGGGGCAGGAGTGTTCCTTGGGAGCCAGCTTTGGTGGGGGCAGCAGGTGGAGCTCACCCTCTGCTCCCAGGTCCCTGAGGGCTCTGGGCTTTAAAGGCGAGGCTATTGTGGCCCACACCAGTGGGATCCTAGCAGGACCCATCTCTGACCAAGGCTGAGCTTCACTCCCACTGGCAGCCCCCCAGTATTCTTGCCCAGCCTGCCAGCAGCACACAGCACACAGGACAGACCCCGACTCCCTCCCTGGGGCCCTGGGATTCAGAAAACTGGTCACCCCTGCCTGGTCCCAGTTTTCTGCCCCAGAGACCTGCCACACCCCTTGGTCAAGCCCTCGTGCAAACCAGATTCGTTTTGTTCAAGGACATCCAGAGGGGGGCTTAGCTGGCCCTCCAGCCACACCCATGATGCCCCTTTCTACCCTTGCCTGCGCTTTCTGAATTCCATAGTCACTTTCTCTGAGAAGCCTTCCTGGCTGCCCCCACCAGGTGTTGTCTCTTTACTGTCCTCTTGAGGCCCGGCCTTTACTTGTCCTAGGGCCTCATCCCACGCCACCTTGTGTTATCATACGACCGGGACTTCTTTACCCCAGTGACTCTGATGCCCAGCACTGGGTGTGGCACACAGTGGGTGCTAAGGACAAGTCTGCTGTGTGCATTGTTTTAGAAGCCCTGGCTGAGCTGTCCTGGATACTGGATGAGGATCAGCGATGTTAGGTTCTATCCTGAGTACCCTGGGACTTCTGATCAGAGGCCTGGTTTTCTCAAGAAGCGTGACCTCTGGATGAACTTTAAGACCTAGCCCTTGGCAAACAACTGTCACCCAGAGTTACCCTGGGCCAGCTGGGGCCCTGCTCCTGTTTCCTCTGCAGGCTTCAGCTCTGACCCATCCAGGGCTCAGCCTGCTGCAGTTTGGTACCTGTTCCTGGGCTTTCGTGGGACCTGACTTGGGAAATAATAGAAAATATAGGTATTGGTCTCTGCCCCCAGTTTCTGGCACAGAGCTCCTAAAACCCTTGTAATTTCCTGGGTGATAAGAATGTCTTTTGTTCTAATGAGGCAACTCTTGGTGGGCTCCTGGATGGGTACTGGTCATCAGAAAGACAAGCCATGATGAAAAGCTTGGAATTTTCAGACCCCCACCCCCTCATGTTCTGGGAGGAGGAGAGGGGCTGGAGATTGAGTGAATAATGCATCATCCTCTGTGATGAAGCCTCCATAAAAATCCCCAAAGTACAGGGTCTGGAGAGCTTCCAGGTTGCTGAACACATGGCGGTACTGGGAGGGCAGCATGCCCGGCAAGGGCTTGGAAGCTCTGCGCCCCTTCCCCCACACCTTGCCCTATGCATCTCTTCCATCTGGATGTTCATCTGTATCCTTTATCATATCCTTTTATGATAAACTGGTAAACATAAGTGTTTCCCTGAGTTCTGTGAGCCATTCTAGCAAATTATCGAACCCAAGGAGGGCGTGGTGGGAACCCCGATTTACATCCAGTCAGTCAGAAAGACAAGTGACAACCTGGACTTTTGATTGATGTCTGAAGTGAGGGGTGAGGGGGGACAGTCTTGAAGGACTGAGCCCTTAACCTGTGAGACCTGACTTATCTTTAGGTAGATAGTGTCAGAAGTGAGTGAAATCGTAGGACACCCAGCTGGAGTCAGAGAATTGCTTGATGGGTGGAAACTACCACATGTCTGGTGTCAGAAGTGCCATGTGAGAGGAGTGTGAGCATCAAGGAGAAACACGGGAGGTTTTCCTTCACATGACCTTAGCCTTGTCCTGCCCCACACCCTCACCATGGGGTCCTGTCCTCCATCTCCTAGCATCTCCCCCCACTTCTGTCTAATGCTGACAACTCACAGGAGCTGGGGATTTCTCCTAAATGGGTGAATGCAGAGTCCTGCAGGCCCACTTTCAAATGTGCATGGCAAGCACACAGACGTACACGCGCGCACGCACACACACTCACACTCACGCTCAAACAGAGCCAGAGAGAGTCACTGCTGAGCCAGAGGGACCAGATTTATTAGATTCCAGCGAGACTATACGGTACGTGTTTCATGCAAATTAAATATGTGTCTTCGTTGCCCTGGGAGGTAGCACTTTCCCTGCCAGCTCCTTCCTCGGCACATCAAGGGGTGAGCATCAAGGGGAACCCTCAATATATTCCGCATGGGGGACAGTTGGGATCACGATTGGGGCTGGAGGTGAGACAGTGAGCAGCTGAGGGCCCCTGGGACCTTGAGTCTTCAGATGTTCAGGGACCACAGGACCTTGGTCCTTTGCTGGTGGTGGCACCAGAGGATCATCATCTTTCAGAGGCACCGGGATTGTAGGAACTTGATTCTTCACAGGCTCAGGGGCAACAGGACCTTGATCCTTGACTAGTGCTGGGACCACAGGACCTTGACTCTTTGGAGGTTCTGGGACTACAGGCCCTTGTTCCTTGACTAGGGCTGGGACCACAGGACCTTGACTCCTCACAGGTGCCACAACCACAGAATCATGATCCTTCAGAAGCTCTGGGACCACCCCACCTTGATCCTTGACTGGCTCTGGGACCACTAAACCTTGACTTTTCACAGGCTCAGAGACCACAGGACCTTCACTTTTTATAGGTGCTCTGATCATGGCACTTTGATCCTTCAGATGCTCTGGGACCAAAGGACCTTGATCTTTGACAGGTGCTGGGACCTCAGGACCTTGATCCACAGGCTTAGGGACTGTGGGGCCTTGATCTTTGGCAGGTTCTGGGACCACAGGACCTTGATCCCTCAGAGGCTCTGGTACCATGGAACCTGGATCCTCAACTCTTGCTGGAAACATAGGACTTTGATCTTTTAGAGGCACTGGGACCAAAGAACCTTGGTCCTTGACTGGTGCTGAGATCACAGAACCTTCATTCTGTAAAGGGTCAGGGACCACGTGATCTTGATCCTTAACTGGTGCAGGGACCATGGGACCTAGATCCTTCAGAGGCCCTGGAACCACAGGAGCTTGATCCTTCAGAGGCCCTGGGACCACAGGAGCTTGATCCTTCATTGGCT